TTTGTTAAATAATAAATATTAATTATTTTAATAATTAAATTAAAATAAAAATTAAATAATTTATGTTGTCTTAACCAATTTGTGAGAGGCTCGAGGATTTTTTGCAGGAATTAAATTAATACAGCCAGTGAAGGGAAAAAAAAGAAGAAAAAAAAACATGAAAACACGTAAGTTAACTCGGATTTAATTTAAGCTGAAATTAAGTAGCTTTCAAATAGACTTAAACCAAACATTTAGCGTGGACCATACCCTCCCACTTATTTAATTATTCTATTTTAGCTTTTTTTTTTTATATATAAAAACAATAATTAAAAATTAATATGTTAAAAATATTAATGAAAAATATTGGATATGAGATTTGAAAGTGTAAATCATAGATTATCTTTTAAAATAATAAATGATCACTGAATCACGAGACTTGAAATGCTATATTATTTTAGGTTCTTAAGAAATTAGGATGGGAAGGAAAGTGACGAAGCTAAACATTGGAGATATGACTTGAAAAGATGATTAGAGGTACGTTGTTCTAACTAAGCGGTAAATTTTTATTAATTTGTAGTGATGATACGTGTCTCAAACTTATGATTTATTTAATGGACATTATTTATTTGAACTGGGCTTGACTCGATGATTTTCCATTCTTTCGTAATTTTTTATATTAAAAAAATAATAATTTATTTAATCAACATGATTTGATTGATTTGATTATTTATTAAATAATAATAATAATAATACATTCATTATTACTTTCTCAATTAAATATAGTTTGTTTCTATTTTAAATAAAGGTAGTCTTGTTACTTATTTTATTTTTATTTTTATTATTAAAAAAATATGAATGATTAAAATTTTTTTAATTAAAAATAAAAATAAAAATAAAGTCTTAATTATTATAATAAACAAAATTTTTAATAATTATAAATAAATAAAATAATATAACTAAATTTGATTGGATGAAATAAATCAAAATAGTCTCTTAATTGCTTGGTTTGTATCTAAAATTTCTTATTTTTAGGTAATTGATGTACAATATTCTTTATATCGTTTATGAAAAATTATTTCACTTTTTTTTTTTTATAAATTTATAAGGGATCAGAGTCGAATCTTTGTTATGAGAAAAAGAGAATATAGTTATACGTGACCTGATATCATTGAATCTGAAAAACTAAGTGTTATTTCACATTTTTAATTATATTGAACATAAAATAAAAATTTTAAGATAAGCGATGAGTTCCTAATAATATAACCCTACTTAATTAAGAATCTTATTTTATATCATTTGAGTTATAAAATAAGAGATCCATTTGTTTATAAAAAAATTTATAATTACTTATATAAAAAAGCCCACTCATTATACACAAGCATGTTCATCATATACTGGAGAATAGTAGATAAAGGGAGGAGGAATACCAAGTGTTTTGCATTAATTTGAAGGGAAGGTGACTTCAGGTTCCAAACTATCTTAGTATTCTTTGTTTTCAAACCAATTACATTAGAAGTGTAATACCCAATTTAAACACACAC